ATATTGCAGGGCACCATTGCCGAACTAGATTTGCCATCACTTTACAAATATAAATATGAAAAAAATAAATATAAAAATATAAAAATTACAATGTAAATATAAAAATGACTTTGTAAATATAAAAATTACAAAAATATAAAATCTTACAGAAAAATTGGAGAAATAGGTAGCGTTGAAAATGTAGGTTATAACGAGACTTATGAAAGCCATAAAAAATATAAGCATGTTAGTTCCAACTTGCTAATTATGATTCAGGGGTCTGTCCAGACAGTTTGTGAAAGGTCCTGTTTTTGTAAAATTGCGAAAAAACTATGCATAATTTGCGAATATAAAATAGTCACATTCTTTTCAACCAGAGTCCCGCTTTTGTGCAAATAGGGTCTTGTTATTGCAAAAATTGCTAAAAACCTTTTCAAGAAGTTTTTAAATTGTAAATAGATACAAGTTTCTGCTCAACAATTGCTGCTGCTAAATTAGAGATGCAATACAAATATTTGGAATTTAGCCTATACTACTCAACACAGAACATTCATTTCGGACGAATGATGGAAACAAAATCACTCACATTTTTAACAATTTCAACTGACATATCTTAAATAACACTACTTAGTAATGTATCGCACACGTGTTACACATTAAGTAAACACCAAAATCTTGGTATATAACATTACATTAATTTCTGGGAAAATGCCACACTTTAATTATAAAAATTATTGCAATTGACACTTACAAAAAATAATGATAAAGGAAAGAAAATAAAAAAGTCATCCATAAAAATTACTAAACAAAAATAAAAAAAAACTGAAGGGCAGCTCTCTCTGAACTAACTACTTGTTTATAATTTAGAGATATTGAAGGTATTCATCAATATTTTACAGTGTATTTTCAAATCTTCCTTTTCGGAAAGTATAAACTATGAATTTCTAAACATTCTACTTTTTTTTATTTAACTGGTTAGTAAAATTTTGAGCAGCCAGGCTTTTACTGTATATCCATAAAATGAAATATGTGGCATGGAATTCAAAAAAAATTATGCTGAAAAAGAATTATGCAATTCAAATTATTAACCCATAAAAAAGTAAGTAAATGTTTAAAAATGTAATCTAAAAAGATTTTTTTTAATTCCTCATAGTTAATGTACATAGATTCTTGGCAGCTATCTATCATAGATTTTGATACAAACAATAGATATTTTTACCAGCCTAAGCCCTGACGTCTTTTTTTCAAGTCACTTAAAAACTTGCCTTATTATAAATGTAACTATCGCTGTACTTATAATTCTACCCTAGTGCAATTATCATTTTTTAATCAAGAATTGATTTCATACTCAGTATCTACAAGTGTCACAGCTTGAACAAAGCTATTTGTTCAAAGCACTCTTGAGTAGGAAAATATTGACAAAGCTCTTTGACATTCACCCCATTTCTGAAAGTTTATACAGACGGTTTATCTTGAATCTCTCCAGAAAAGCAAAAAATTTGAAATAATAAGATCTTGAGTTATACAGGTACTTAAAAAAATTAAATTTAATTAAGAAATTTGATGCTTTAATTGTTTTTAGTAGAAATTTATAGGCATTTTTGTAAATTAATTATACCACATATATCTATTTACATAAAACTTTTTAACATACCTTTAACACTGAGAAAAATCTTTTTAAAGATTTTTGATGTCTAACCTTCTTTGTTTGTTATGGTGTTTGAGCACTTGTGCTTGATTATTAGAAATTCGAGAAACAGAGGTTTTGAAAGAAAACATTTCGAGATAGACATGGAAAATACATTGATTTTAAGTAAATGTGAGGAATTTTAGAAATTTTGAGATATAGAGGTTTTCGAGATAAAGAGGTTTGAGATAAACAGGTTTAACTGTAATAATAAAGGTCTTATCAAGATTGAAGCTAATTTGACATGCTCAAGTTGAAAAAACATGAAAAAATTAACATGACATAATACTGTCNGGTTTGAAATAAACAGCTTTAACTGTAATAATAAAGGTCTTAGTTCAAGATTGAAGCTAATTTGACATGCTCAAGTTGAAAAAACATGAAAAAATTAACATGACATAATACTGTCGTAAGTATTACTAAAAATTTAATATGGGGAAGCAAGCCCAGTCTCATCCTAATCAAGAAAAAAAAAGATGATTTGTTTAACATCAAAAAGAAACTTCATAAAAATTTTTTTCAAGCAATAAACAAAGCTCATAATTCTTAAGCAAGAATAAAATTATCTCAAAAACCCAGTAAATGAAAAGTTTTAAAACAGCTCTCTTAAGAAGACATAAAAAAAGGTATTAGAACCATTGGAACAGGAAGGTATTACAATTGCATTGAAATGACGTGATATTAGCAGATTTCGGCATAGTTTCAAATATTAAAAATGATCGACTAACGACAAAAAATTGCGGAAGAGTCACATGTATGAAAACGTTTCGTTTACGCGATTCAGTGAAGGTTTCAAAATTAAAATTGTAGAACTCACTTTAAATTTTCGGTTGCAGTGAAAATTTTTTTGGATTATACGTTTTTATTCGGGGAGTCAGAGAATCAATGGTCTTGAAATACACGGAATTTTATTAAAAAAAATCACATGATCTGCTCCTAAACCTGAAGGAATGATACAAAAACCCCGGGCGGTACTACCCGAATACAATCAGCCCAGCAGAGAAATATAAAGGGAGAAAAAATTTTGAATTATTAATAAAATTTTAAAACTGGAATTATGAGAAATTATAAGAGAAGTTATTATAATGCAAATCACTTAATGTATTGAGATATGGACATTGAATAAAAAAAAACGCCATATATTATTGTAAAAAAATTAATACTCAAAGTGCTACACTTGATGAAATATAAAAATACTAAAATTAGATACTCACAATGATAAAATAAAAATATTTTCCATGAAAAAAAAAAGACAAAATATTTTATCAGTTTAAATTAACTACCTTGATATGTTTGAAATCAAACATATTACGGTGCACAAATATTTTCTTGATTTTTTGGTTGGTCCAAGTTGTGAGCATCTTATAAAAGGTGGTAGTCTAAATGAAAAAAGAATATTAGAGTGAAGAATTATTATTTACATTTTAAAATCAATAATGTAGGTTTTTTTATATCAATACATTTACTTTTTCAATTACACCAACAGCAAAATAGATGGGTAATTTAAGATTCATCTTCTCCCAGTAAGTTTCAAGAAGAATGCACATCTCTTGACCTGGACCCAATGAAAAAATCGGAATGAAAACCTAAATGAAAAATAATAAACATTTATGTACAGATAATAAAATGCATTCAAAATTTATGAGCAAAATGAATTTGAAAAAAATTCATACAAGCTTACACCTCTTTGTTAACAATCTAGTAGCACAATTATAATAGTTTAAGTATATATATATATATATATATATATATATTGAAAATGTATACCTAGTATTGAAAATGCCATATATTTGTCTCCTCATATCTATTTCATTATTTGCAAGAATAAAAAAATAAAACTGAAAAATCTGCAATGGAAACTTTTTATTCTGTTAATTCTCTCGTAATTTATGTAAATAATTTAACGCTGATAAACTTCTTTCAAAAATCGAAAGACGACATATTCTTTTAAGAATAAAAAATTTGTTATTAACCCCTTAACGATCGGTTAATTTTCAAGAAAACGGTCACAAAAGTGTCTATTTTGCCAAATACTCGTATTTGATTAGTGCTAGCATCTAGTTTAAAATAAACTATCTACTTACAATTACTTTAAAAATATCCTGGTACTGTTATATGGTGTGTAAAATGAGAAATAAAATGTTTTCCGGGCAAAAGAAATGAATTAGTTTTATTCTTATTGGCGTATTACTACTGAACACTCCAGCCTGTCAATATCACGGGAGCGAGAAACAGCAAACGAAAACTCACCTCGTATTTTCACGGGAGCGAGAAGGAAGCGGTTAAATTCTAAAATAATTGGTAGCAGAAAAAAACTTTAATTTACAAGAAAAGGATAAATATATTGTATTTCTTTAATTTAATATTTCAGAAACTATTATAGATATATAGAAGGATATATTTCTTAATATACTTATAGAAGGATAAATTTCTTAAGCCTACAAAGGATATTCAAAACATTGTTAAATTTCACATTAAAAGAAGAAAAAAAGAGGCTTTAACGGCTTTTCCTCATAATTTATTAATGTCACCAATTTCTCATAGTAAGAGGCATTTTTTTCTAGATCACAGACCAAAAAGTACTAGAAAAAAAGTATATTATATATATTTTTTAATAAAGATTCCTTTTTACAATATAAAAGCCTTGTATAACTAGTATTTCACTACACATAAAAGGTATAGATTCTAAACATTTCTGTAGTTCTTCTTCAATGTCCTGGATCCTAATTACTTCTTAAATTTTAAACCAGTACAAATAATTAATAACATAACATGTTATTAAAAAAAAACTACATGCATTTAATCTAGATAAAATTAAAAAAGGAAGAAGTATTTTTTATGATAAAAAAAAAACTTATGATCAATGATTCTTCATTCCATTTCTATTAATTAACTGCAATATATGCTATCTTAAGAACTTCTCTAGACACTAGTCTTTCATGTCGGCATTTACTGCAGTGAAGTAATTAGCATCATCCATTAAACAAGTAGCAGTTGTTTAAATGAGAATGCTTAAAAATGTATTAAAAATAAAAGAAATTTTGGCTTTAAAATTTATTCAAACTTGAAATTCTTTAAAATTAAATGATTTTTAACTACTAAAAAAGGGGGTCTTTTGTGTTTATAAACAATTTTTTTAAAAAAACAACATATAATAGTTTTTATTTTTAAAGATATGATACCCATAACTGGGTAGAGTATCTTATCTTTGCATCTATTGTCACCAAGACACACATCTATTGTTACTAATTCCTTTTAAATTAGGCTTTTCCAAACCATTTAAATTAAAATCGAGTTAAAAACAACAACAAAAATTAGACTGCTAAAACAGAATCCTTGTCAAATAGACTTTTCTACTTAATTCAAATTAAAGAAAAGTTTAGAAAGAATTAAAAAAAAATCAACTGTGAAAATGGAATCTTTGTTAAACAGAATTTTTTACAATATTCAAATTGAAAATGATTAAAAAAGCGAAAGCACATGAGAATCACAGACATAGTAAAACCACCAATAGTAAAATGTGTTTTAATTCACGATACTGTGTTAAATATAGGAAAATTTTTTACAACATATTATACAGCTATAAGTAAACAGGGTGCTTAGCCAAATATCTCAACAAAAATTAAACACCTTTTAAGTACTTTTTAAGCAATCAAAAAATATTTTTAAACACTATATATACATTAACAAAATGCAAAATAATTTTTAAAGACTTTACATGATCATGATAAAAATAACTAGTTTCTGACAAAGAACTCTTTTCTTGATTATATCATCCACCGTAAAGAGATCGAGAGATTTTTCGGTTCGATTTCAGAGGGCGGAAAATGAAGTCTGAAATTGAGAATACCTTGCAAACTGCAGCAGAGTTGCACACGAGAGTGCAAAAATCTCACCGAACTCAGCTCAGCCCACATTTGCACTCCCAAAATTTTCCTCAAATATGTAACATTATTGGCGCTATCATACTTTATGGTTCGACAGTACACGAGATGGATTGCGGTTGAATGAATTGTGAAAGCATTAAATAGAACAATGTGTCAGCCACTCTTTTGCATTATATGTAGCGAAAAAAGACATGGTAAAGAAAAAAATCTCATTTTTGAAAAGGTAAAATTAAGCACGTTTTATAAACACTTTTAAGGGTTTTTAAAAAACGAAAATCCAAAATAAGCACCTTTAAGCAGTTTTTAAAAAGAATTCACTTTTCAGAGAATATTTTGCAGCAGGAAAGCTCAGCCTAACAGGAACTGGCAAGATCTGGTAACAAGAAGCACAATATGAGAAAATGTTCTAGAGAAGGCAAAAACAAATGATGATGATAAATACAACAAATTTAACGGTTTACTCAAGTTTATACCCAAAATATAAATATTTGCTTTAATCTTATTCTGTATCAAAAAATACAGCTTTGCATGCACGTCACAAATGAACAAGCAAAATTTGTTACGTAATAGAACCAATTTAACCTCTTTCCTGGTTATAACTGATTGATTGACCTGGTCATAAAGATTGAGGCAAATGTTTTCACTGAAAAGAAAACAGTTTATAAGTTCAGCCTAACAGGCATTGTCTAATGCCCTTTTAAACTTTGATTCCTTTTAGACCCTTGGAAGGCACAATATAACAAAGAATTATTGTAATTTCATGTTAATTAGCATGAGAATTAGATAAATTTCAATGATGAACATCCACAACACTGAAGATAATTAAGGAAATAGGAAGTTGTAAACTTACTTTACCACCTTTTTCGACACAGTCATGTACTTTGGTCAAAAAATCTCTTTCTCTATAACATTTTGAGTCTCTAATTGTAGTATCATCTGT